ACACAACAGACCAGAAAGCATTTAAAAAAGCAAATGAAACATGAATGTCACAGCAGCAGATATTTCTGCAAGACACCATTTTTCTCAGGGGGTTAGACAAGAGTAGTTTTGCCTGAATCAAGTATTTGGCCAAACTCAGGCCTCTATTTAAATGAATACTGAAATGCAAGAGTTATTTCCTTCAAATAAATAGACAAAAACAGTAAAGACAAAAGAAAGCGTACAAAGTACAAAATGTACAAAGTCTGAATCTCAAATAATGTGTACAACCCCTAAAGTCTGATTCTGAAACTATTTAAAATTTATAACTGAATACATAAAGAAGCAAGGTTATGTTCTAATTACTTTGGGGGGAATATTAAAAAAGATATATTTTTATCTTTCTCACAATTCCATTGTCTTACAAAATCAAGCATTGAGCCCTTGACTTCTTTGTTCTAATCACTGTTAAACAATGACTCTAGTTTTTACTGAATTTAGAAAAAAGTGAAATACATCTTATTTACTCTAAAGCTTCAAAATATGATCACTGAAGGATGTGTTTAGTGAGGTATATGACATAAGGTGATAAGAGACTTGTGGGAATAAAAGAGGAAGTAGGACAGTGAAAAGGGTGGGAGACAAAAAAATTAATGAAAAATGCATAACAAAATTGTTTCTATCAATTCCACTAACAAAATGTTCTGTGTACCACCAAACTCTTATTGCAGCATGGGGCAATTTGCATAAAAATATTTGCATAATTACAAAGTTACCTGTTATCTTCTATGAAGTGCGAACTTGCTATGGCTTCTGTCACCTGATTTACATTCGATATTCTAAAATAATTAACAATGTGGTTGACAGCATATTTTTTGGTACACACTTCTTTGTTATTTCACATAAAAGTAATCTTTTATGTGTCACTTCTATTACAAGCAACATATATGAAAAGGAAACTAAGGGAATACAGTTTTGAAAGAGAATTTTGGTTCTTGATTTTCTTTCTTTTACCAAAAGTTCCTAAATCAATCAGTTTAACAATTTGGATCTTCTACATGAAATAATAGAGTTTTCTGCTATATTATGTGTTTAGTACAGTGTAAACACGTAAAATACAGTACATTTATATTCATTAGGAGCCCTGGTGGCACTGTGGTTAAGCACTTGGCTGCTAACTGAAAGGTCGGCAGTTCAAACCTACAAGCTGCTCCACAGGAGAAAGATGTGGCAGTCTGTTTCAGTAAAGATTACAGCCTTGGAAACCCTATATATACAGAGAGAGTTTATATATATAGACAGTTCTGCTCTGTCCTATAGGGTCACTATGAGTCAGAATTGATTCAATGACAATGGGTTTGGTTTTTTGGTTTATATTCATTAGTTTGACAAATAGAATCATCCTAATTTTTTCGTTTTGTTTTCCTAGACTGGTCTGCTAATTTATTTTATAAAACCATTAAAAATATATATATTGATTGCATGTTCTTATAAGATATGACAGAGAAACTAGACCGTATGAATGAGTTCAACTCAACTTCATGCCTCTATGGTATCAAACTTATCTACATCTGCATATTTCCTCATTTTATCTCATTGTATGAGTTTCCCCTTCCACTCAAAGAACATGACCACAATATTGAAGTCTACTAGCTTCTTCATTAGTTATTCCCTCTTTCGTCTATATTTTTAATGTTTTCCTAGCTACTAATTCCTTTCTCCATGGTCTATAAACCTTACTTCTCTCTCAAGTTAAACAACCGTCTCTTGACTTTTGACACTATCTCCTTCCTTCCTTTTACAATTATATTCTTGGAAAATAACAGTTTACACTCACAATATTAGGTTCTTCCCTTCTCATTCATTCTTCAAAACTTTGAGATTATTTCTTCCCCAGGACCTCCCTGAAACTGGTATTATTAATGTCACAAGTACAGTACTAGTGTCATGCTCAATAGGTCTCATTTTAACTGGACTTTTTGGGTCATATGACAATACTGAATACTCCCTTCTTGAAGTATTCTCATTCTTTGGCTTCCATGAAACCACATTCATCCTCACTGTTCTTCTGTGTGCTTTTCAATGTCTTTTGCCATTTGTTCTTCAACACTCTTTAACTCAGCATTGGTGTTCTTCATGTTCTGTACTCTACTCTCTTCTTAGTAATCTCCCTGGGTGATCTCATCTACTTCTTTAACATCAGCTACCTCAACTCTGCTGATGATCGCCAAATATAGATTTCTACCCCTTACCTCTCTACACAGTTTTACACTTTATATCTACCTATCCTTTGTAGTGATTCCCAGTTTTTTCCCATCATATTGTATGGAAAATGACAACACTGTATGGCATACTATGGTGAACAGATAAGACTGTTCAAGGTTGGAGGAAAATGGTTCTGCTTGGTTCCCCTGAGGGCTGAGTAAGGTCACTTTCTCAGTACCCTTGTAATCCATTTATACCACAATTGTTAATTACCTCTGTCCTATAGAACACTGTTACCCAAGATTTTGACTGGCATCTTAAACTCACCATATCTAAAATGAATTCAATATTTTTTCCCCTAATCTTCTTTCTCATCCTATTTTACTCTTGATGAATGGCAGTAACTTCTACTAAGTGACCTGGAAGCAATCCTTAACTTGTCTTCTATTATCAAATTCCAAAACCAACCACTTTTAAATCTTTCTTGGCTGATTGATCTCCCTTATAGATTCTAGTATAAAAACTTGAATTTTTTTTTTATCATAGTTACCTGCTTTGTCGCATGATATTCCCATAAGTAGCCTTGATAAGAATATAATGAATATCATATAGTACATCCAAGAAGTCTTCCCGGGTCACAGTCCTACTGATTCGAGGATCATCACCATAATATTTCCATTCTTTCTGTTAATAAGAAAAGAAACCCCTCTGACAAAACTGAATGTAAACCAATTGATATCCTTATACCAAACAACTAATAATCTTACCTCTGTCATTTCAATTTCATGCCTTGTCAATTGGCCAATCAGAGGAGCAGCCATGTGTCTAATGATAATTCTAGCATGAGCAGGAGTCCCACCTCGAATGATAACTTGAGGATTATAGGTAGAGAAACCTGTTTCTTCCCGAGCCTCAAAATAGATTGTGTACTTGAGTTTGCCACCATAGGCCATCAACTAGCAAAATACAATGAGGAGTGATGAGTTAGTTAAGTCTCCAAATGGCATACTCCCAGAAACATATTTTATTTTGTTATCATGTGACTTTGAAGTTCCTGTTCTTACCTTCTTTCCTTCAAATTGTTCTGGAAGTTTCCAATAAAATGGTTCTAAATGGAGATCTTGTTTCACCAGATTCATGTGTGCAACAATCTCTGGGTGTTGAAAAGCAATGCCCTTGGTAGTTGTGTGCTGCAGTGCCTCATCCACCAGTGGCAGAAGGGTTTGCTCAGGGTTCAGTGTTACCTGTATGGGGTCAAGAAACAGCAGGGGCCAAGTTCAAGTCTTTGGGGGTAC